TATAGGCAATACTTACCGTAAATCCTCCATTAAGCCCCCCTCTCAAAAAAGCCCTCCCCCCCTCTTTTCAGGCGAAGAAAATTAATAAGCTCCACCCTCTCTTTTAAGCCCCCCTCCCCTTCCCTAATTATTCTTCAGTAATAAATGATAGATTTTATTAATCAATAACGACTGTAAATCTTCGTGTGGACTGATCCGGGATGGTTTATTCACCAACTGGAAGTTGATCCTCGGCTGAATGATCTCCAACTTCTTGTACTTGTGCTTTTCCACTTTGTATTTTAGTTCTTTATTGAGCACTGATACCATCGTCTTTTCTAAATTAAATAAGCCCCCTCGTCTCTATGAAGCCCCCAACCCTCAAATGGGTTTGAAATAAATAAGTCCCCTGGGGGCTTAATAGAGATTTTACAGTAGTTGAAGCAAATCATGGCAACTTTATCGAAACGTTGTAAGATGTCAGCCTCACACTATTTTCGTATCCAGAGGTGCTCACATGACGTCCTCTACTAAATATTATAGATGACGTGCTTCTCTGGGACGATGACGATCCTAACCTCGATCGGTGCTCTGCGCCTCTCAGACCGAATTTTATGATTGACAGGTAAAGGTTGTGGTATGTTTCCCTGATCCTCCGGTTCCGTAGCGAGTATATAAAGGGGCTAAGCGCGGAGTTCAGATATCCCAGGATTAATAGCGCGATTAGCAATTCTGGTGGCGAGTTAAAATAGCACTGCTTGCAAAGACTTAGAGTGAAACTCGCAGCACAGAAAGGAAACCAGCAGAAAAACAGCGTACAGATTATCAAAGCAATGGTCTTCGTCGCCTTGAGATTTCTCTGAAAGTTCCCGTGCTCACTCGGTGCTGGGTGTCGAACTATGTGACTTGGTGAGGAGACAGAAGCTTTCGTAAAATCCTGACAACCTTTAACGTTCTGTGCTATGCGATATATCTTTAAATAGATCCCGCTGATTATGAATATAGGTAAAACAAAATGGATAACCGTAGTAAGAGCGGAGTACTCTGGTGTAATATTGAAGTAGCAGTTGCCGTTAATGACATGGGAGGGATAATACCGCCAGCCCATAATAGGAATTAACGAAAAGGCAAGACAGTAACACCACAGGAAGACCACAACGACTCGAGAACGCTTCAGAGATAGAAACCCTCTTTTGCGGAAACGCCTTAAAGGATCACTCAGAGCCTTGTAGCGATCAACTGTAAGGACCACGAGAGTCAGCATGGAGGTTGGTACGCTGAACAGGTACGCTGTTGTCCATGCTATGCACAAAAGCTCAGTGTGTTTCCATACGCCTCCCACAAGTAAGCTTTCTACGTCGAACGGCATGGCAAGGCACGCGGTTAGAAGATCGGAACAAGCCAGTGAGAAGATGAAGGTCATCGTAGGCGAGGAACGGAGGCTTTTGTTGAAACAGATTGCCGTGCAAACAAGCAGGTTTCCGAGCACCGAAGTCGTGATGATGACCACGTAAAAAATCGCGCAAGTAAGAACAAATGCCGGATGAAAACTGAACTCTGCTGCTTGTGATGTGTTGTTCATTTTCTCGTGCTGAAATAAACCTATGAAATGAGAATACACTCGTGTTATAATTAATTATCCAAATAGTAGACGGTTTGAAAGCTTTTACATTAACTGAAAAACAGAGAAATTCTTACGAAGGCAATAATAGATAATTGATGGTGTCAAAATACTCATATACAGTGCAAGTATTATTTACGAGGGCGCCAATCAGTCGCGATATATTGGGTCATTTGAAGCTAGTAGCGATCACTGAATTACAAAAAAAATTTTCTCGGGCATTTATCCCCCAAAGCTAGGAGAGCTTTTAACATTTAGAGTGCTAAATAATTGTATTTTGTTGNTGAAAACTGAACTCTGCTGCTTGTGATGTGTTGTTCATTTTCTCGTGCTGAAATAAACCTATGAAATGAGAATACACTCGTGTTATAATTAATTATCCAAATAGTAGACGGTTTGAAAGCTTTTACATTAAAAACAAAGAAATCCTTAAGAAGGCAATAATAGATAATTGATGGCATGAAAATACTCATATACAGTGCAAGGATTATCTACCAGGGCGCCAATGAGTCGCGATATATTGGGTCATTTGAAGCTAGTCGCGATCACTGAATTACAAAAAAAGTTCTCTCGGGCGTTTATCCCCCAAAGCTAGGAAAGCTTTTAACATTTAGAGTGCTAAATAATTGTATTTGTTGTGAAATAAGAAAATAACCCTTACGCATGTATACATCTGAGGAGCAAATTTCGCTACCAAGCCTAGTTTTAAAATTGTGGAATTGTGAAGTTTTACATAAATGTATTCCCCTATAGTAGACTTAAAAAGAATAGCCTTGCACAAAGAGAGCAAATTGGAAGAACTTTGCTCGCAAACCATGCTTGATGTTTAAATTTCGCTGGTCGTATCCATGACGTCAATCAAGCGTAAGGACCATTCTTTGCTTGATGTTTTTGTAGCTTTGTGTGGATTTTAAAATTATTTTTTTAAAAAACACTTGAGGATATTGTAGTGGATTTGTAGTGTCAATTGACATTTTACGGAAGCACTCAATAATTTTGCCCAAACCTATAAAAGTGATTTTTTATTAGATCCAAAGAGTTATAATCAAATAAGATATTGTATTAGACACTTTTTTTATCGCCTAGGTGATACCGTACCGTAATGACTTTGTGTATCCGTGAGTATAAAAGCCATTAAAACTATACTGTTAATATTTTTTCAACAAAGTACAGAAAAACTAATACAGTGCTGCTTTCTTTTCGTGTGAGGATTACACCAGGAGGAAAGTCTTGAATTTTTAAATGATTTTTGTGCCTCAGTGAAAAAAAAGAATTTCATAGTAAAATACCTGCGTACATTTTCATCTAATGGGCTGAATCTTTGCAGCCCACAAAAAAATGATTTGTTATCTTTATTTGTAATTCCGACGTTTCGTATTTAGGTAAATTAATGTTGCTATTAAGGAAACGTTAAACCGACACCCACGGATTTAAAACAGAAAAAAGTTTGGATGTTACCAAAACAGGGAACAGGAAAATGAAAATAGGAAAAAAAGCAGATAATAAGTAATGAGATTATACTGATAGGGCCAGAGTAAAGTGAGGTTTTGCCCATATTTTGTCATTTTTCCGTTCCCGTTTCTGTCCCTCGCTCCCTGTTTCTCGTAACATCCCAAAATTCTAACTGATTGTACTTTTTCAGTAATGCATTACGAGTAAACTTTTCTTCTCTACATTACAATAGAGATCTGGCCAAAATTAGCCATGGTTACGTCCTAATTTTTGGACTGCAATTCACCCAATTTGAGCTTTTTCACATGGGATTTATATCGCGAAGTTAGTGTCAGATGGGGAAGGAGTAGAGCTTTGCTTCGATAGGACTAGAATAAGTACTTGGTATAAATCATAAAAAATGACTCACTTCTATCCGAAGCAACTCAAAACTAATCGACTGCGGTTTTTCAAATAAATGAAATAAGAAGGAAACAAACAAAAAGAAAAAAAAACTGAGAGCGAGAATAGAGAGTGGAAAACTAAATAGTATTCTCTCTCTAGAATTTGAGTTTCCTCAGCTTGTCATCGTAAAGGGCGCCTCTTTTTTAGAAAACTTACCTGCTTTTACACTCAACCCCGAGTTGTCAAGTCAAGAAATTTTCGGACGTTTATAGATGTAGGAAACTCCAGTTCTATTTTAGCAACCTTGTGTTTCGAGTCATTTTATTCTCAAATTTAAAGTAAAGCGATATCTAAAGCAAAGAACGCCGCAGGGTAAATGAATGACAGTTTTTAGGTAGTTTTTAATTCGACTTAGTGTATGATTGATAAAACTCATACATAATATCCGACAGTATAACACCGGGTTCAGTTTCCTTTCCTTGCTTTAAATATCGCATTTTCGTCAAAATAGATAAATGAGGCCAACCTTTGACTAATCATTCGACACTTTTAAAAAACTTATTGAATTTTGAATATTGAACGAGACACGCAACGTTTTCGCACGCTTTAATAAATGTAACTGTTGCTGGTACGTTTTTTCTCTGAAGACAGAAAACTGACCATAAACTTCTAATGGTTTGATTCCACACCACCTTACTAAAGCGTGGCAAGATTTTGCACATTATGACTCGAGAAAATCAAAACGTGCCATTGTTCTGCCACTGAAATGTGAAACCAGTTATTAGTTATCTGTGACAATCAAACTCTTCAAAAAGATAAATATACTTGTTGTTTAGTTCCTAGCTAATTCAAATAATATATATTGTTAGTGAGTTTTTGTTCAACGCGACACGATTGCTTTTGGTTTTACATATGTGTGTGAAATATTAAGTTGAGAAAAACAAAGGCGAGATTCATTTTTTGCCGAAAACAAATGTCCTCTTTTGTAATCCAGAACCAAAATCATACACAGTATAAGAAAAGTAAATGCAAGGCGTTAGGGCTGAAGGGGAGACTGGGTGCAACCCGGATCTGTACAGTACCCCAAATGATCTCCAATATGGACCGTAAATCATCCCATTATGCAAAGTCTTCATCCTGAAAAAAATATAAGCCGGTAATTTTTCCCTGTGATGTCGCTGATAAAAACAGCACGCTCTCGCTGTTATTCGAATTTTAAGTCAATTCCGTCCCAGTAAAACCCATTAAAGAGTTATATGACTTTCCGAAAAGAAAAAGAAAAAATATAATGTGCAGTTCACCATTTTTTTCCATTCTCCTCCAACTCAAACGTGATCTTTTAATCAATACATGATTTTTAGACTGATAAGTTGAACAGCGAAATATTGCAGATACTGATTATAAGTAACAGTGGGTAGTGATTGGGAAGGAGGAAAGTTTATTTGAAATGACAGATCTGTAGCTATTATAAAAGGGGCCGAGTTTGTACAAAAGCGAAGGAAGTATAGTAAGTATTTAAGTAAATACGTTTATTTAAAAGGTTGACATTATAGAGCTCTTTCTCGATCTTTCGACTTTTTAGGCTCAGAAGCTTCTCCTAGGTTTTCTCTCATCACCTAATACTGAACAGTGAGGCTCTTTGTAACTCATGAACGGCTGTTAGCTTTTCGGAATTCATAGATGATCTCTAAAAGAATACACACAAAAGAGGAATAATGAAACAAAAACAAACAAAAGAGAAATAGCAATCGGTACTTTATAAACACTTAATTGAAATACCACTCATGACAGAAGCCGAAGGGGTACGCAGTTTCTTTAAGAGTCTCGATACCCTTCCCTTTCGAATCTATTTTTAACACCGAAACATTTATAACTTAAAGAAAGACTGCATGTTTTATTTTAAAACGAACAAAAGACCAGAAGTACATTATCTTTCCTGTCAAAACGGCCTGTTTCGAAGAACGGCTCAAGACCGGCCGGAGGCCTCGCTCCCCGACGGCGACGGCAGAGAAAACGTCACTATTAAAACGAATGTCGCGTTTTTTCAAATTTTTCCGTGTTCATTCCAAATTGCTGAAAATGTCAAATGTAGGCGAATGTCCTCGAGTTGGTTTCTTGGGGACCGTACACCAGTTTAGAAAGGCAAAGAAAAATTCGTAGTTGCTTGTTTACGTCCTCCATAAAACGTGAAATGAGGCATTTTCACGTCGTAGTCGTGCAGTGACGGCAAAGAAATGTACAAAAAAGCATGATGCTCGTGCAAATTTGTATTTTTCCTCAATAAACCTATTGTTTTTATGACGTTCTCGCTACCGTCATTGTCGTCTTTACTAAAGCTCCCTTATGCTTCTACCTAATCCTGCCCATCCAGTCATAAATTGCAAGACTATCACTTGAATTCCACATTCTTATTTTGCGGCAGAACTAGCTCAGTCGGTAGAGCGCTTGACTGTGGAGCTGGAAGTCGTGGGCTCCGATTCACCCCGCGCCGGACCAATACTCAGGGTCTTGAAATAACTGAGAAATGAATTTGCTGCCTTTGCTCTGCAAACGGCTAGACCTTTCCGGGGCTCAGATGACCACGTAAAATGTCGGTCCCATCTCCAGTAGGAGAGGTAAAAATCAGTAATGTCCCCAGTTTGTTCTTTCGTGCTTAATACATTGACACTAGATCTTTGTCGAGAATCCCCGTTACTATGGATACGGGTAGTAACCTTTGGTAGTCAAACATAAGATGTTTAATGCAAATTCAGAGTAAAAGCAGAGAAAACTCAATGACAGCTTTTAAGTTCACTGATTGCGGACTACTTACTTGTCAGTATTTTTTCTCGTTCTTTGTTTAATAGCGAATTTGTGCCTCGTTTTGTTTTCTTTGTTTTAAACTATTACAATTCAATGAATTTTTTGTACTGATTCATGCATCAAAAAAAAAACAAAACAACAGGACTAAGAGAGTAATTGCAGGTTGTATTTGCGACTTGAAAACAAAGGGTGACGTACCGTTCGTGTTGGGGCCAAATAAGTGGTTATCTTTAAAGCTCCTTAATACTTTTTTCAGTCTTTTGTTCTCAGTTTTACAAAAATTGAAATTAAAGATGCTAGTTTAAGGCTAAAAGGTTTTAAAAAATTTCAAATCAAACCTTTTCGAAGGATTGAGTCATCTTCAGGGTAAAAAGACCATTCACTACATGTACACTTGTTTTACTACGAAAGTGCTAGGACATTCAAGACCGTAACTCAGTCTCGCTACGTAAGCGGACCATTGTTTGTTCGGACGGTCTTGTTATTCAGTTTTTAAAAAACCTTAAAGCGTTGCAAAATAGTATTTTCAATCTCAAGTAAATTTGAAATGTTTGTTAGTTTTGGATTTTTTGTTTGTTATTTTGATAGGGTCATCCCCAAAATTGTTTGAACATTGTATGAAATTGACCAAGCCATCCTCGGAGACCCAGGAGCAATCGGTCGGCTCGGGAATAGCTAAAAGAACTGTGGGAACCGAGGCGTTTTTTTGAAGAAAGCTCATTACAATCTGTCGGTTTTAACGTCAAATTTGGCGGGAGAGCATTAGTCACAGGAATGATTAATGGCTTAGGACAAAACTCGGCTTCCGTCGCAGCGTTTCTTCTCATCTGACGAACTAGCTCTGGTTCACGAAAGATGAAACCAAGCTTGTTCGGTGAAGGTGGTATTTTTGCATTTTTTTTATATGGAGCAAGGTGAAGTCGAGGACAGTAATTTCACAAAAGATAGAACAAGGCCAATACTTCTGCCACCTTATTGACCGAACAATGGTCAATGGCCAAAAAAAAAATCTTTGCTTGCGGAACAAAGCAAGCAATGCTTATAGAGCTGGTATCATTTAGGCCCATCTTGGCCTCTCCCGGAGTCACTTTCCTAAAAGATCTATACATAGCTGTACTTCTTAACTCTTGGCTTCTCTGAACAATCATTAGGCGTATTCTTTGCAGTTGATTTTTGATGTATTCAACTCTTTCACCTGGTCAGCTGTGTTTTTGTTTTCGTCGGTTGGACGAAGCCTTTAAATGGTCTATTTCTAAATTAGCGCTTGCGCTTTCAAAGTAATCACGCTTCTTCAAGTCTATCAAAAAGAGGCATTGCAGAAGACAAATGAAGCTTCTAGTCGACCCACTGTTGGTGATATTTCTCTTGAACTTCGCTTCCGGTAAGTCTGATGTTTTTGAACCCAAAGCCTGGACCGAAAATTTGATCAAGTATATGCAATTACCATAATTTCCTTCATCGAGTCGGCGCTCGGTCAAGTATAATACTGTCATAGCTTTAGCCGCCCGCCATGTGGCACTAGCTACTTCAGTTCACTTTAATGCAACAAAACAGTTTTAAGAGACCGGGATGACGTAATTTCTGTTTCACCCGGCAGGAGATGTATTAAACAAGAACATAGAATACGGATGAAAGCAGCTAGAATTGTGATTCAACTCTTGCTTGATCAATAATATAGTGTACTTAATTATACTAATCCAGAAAAAAGATATCGTAAAGGGGCCGATGTATTTTATCTGATACATCGTCTTTACATTTTGCTTGTAAAGACACGAGGAAAACAATTTAAGGGAAAAAGGCTGCCCACCTTTATCCTTGGAGATCTAGGGACGTCTTATCGGCTGAAAGAAATTTCAAGAAGAACTTGAGAGCCTTGTCTCGAAAAATAACCCTGCAAGAGGTAATATGCCAAAAAAATTGGCGCGCCACGATAAAATTCCTGGACAAATCGCCATTTTCATAGCCTATTTTTCGCCAATGACTTCCCCTGTCTATCAAGGGGCAAGAAAGCGCGGCCTAAACCCAACTGCCATATCCCGGTCAAAAAAGTAAGGAAAACCCACTATTTCAGTTGCTATATTTTAACCTTTTTTGGACCCTTTAATTCCCCATTATTAATACAGATTATGTGAAAGCACGGCCCGATTTCTGCAATCAAGACGCTGATCCTGGTCACTGTATGGCTTACATCCCAAGGTTTTTTTTCGATCAACATGATGGCAAGTGCAAGGAGTTTATCTATGGTGGGTGCGAGGGGAATAGGAACAACTTTGAGAAGCTGCAAGACTGTCAAAACACCTGTGGAGCCAAAGATTTTTCTGCTTTGAAATAGAAACAAAAATCAATGGGCTACTATATAGCTACAAACCATGGAATATTATTTTCTCCGACAAGGAAACGTTTGTGCGTGACTTACTATGACATAGCTCGTCATATTTTTCTTGTTTGTAGTAAATAACCACTAAAATGACAAATAATGAAAAATAAGTGTGGGTGTCCTTGTTTTATAGATGGTAAAAAACTATTATCTTTACTGAGAAATTTTATTTTAAGAGGTAATCGTGGCTCAAAATGAAGTATAAAATATAGCATTTCACGTAGTCGCTGATGAAAAAGGGGAATTTCAGGACTCAATCAATATACTTAAAGGCCTTTGACATTGTCATCAGAGAGGTTTTCTGGCTGCTGATGCGGTACTATGGAATACCTGCCCAGTCACCATTACTATTTATAGTCACCTAGCAGATGGTATATAATGGTCAGAAGACCACCACGTTGAGCAGCATGAGGACGGGGGTAAGACATGGCTGCCTGCTGTCATCCTTGCTGTTTCTGGTCCCTGATTGGGTCATAAAGACAGCTTTTTTAAGGAGGCGCGATATCCATTGGTCCCTCACGATGTAATTTTGACCTGGCTCTATTGTACTACGGGATATATGATATAAGAGACAATACACCTGGACACGGGGTTTGGAGAAACCGGCACAGTGCGCAACGTTCTACCTGAAGTTCGATGCCACAAAGACAAAGCGGATGTGTGCTGCTACCAAACAGGGTGGTAGTGTGATGATTGCAGGGGAGCAGATTGAGTGAAGTAGGGGAATGACTTGAGGGGTCAGAGGCGGATCTAGGGGAGGGGCCGGGGGGGACACCGCCCTTAGTTTTAGACCAAACTGAGGCCCGAAGGGCCGAAAAAAACTTTTTTTGAGACCGTCTCCCCCCTCTTATCTCAGGGTCTGATGACGGGGCCCTCCCCTTACCTGAAGGTCTGAATCCGCCACTGGGAGTATTATAAGTTAGAAAGGGGACCGAGGAGGACATACCAGACACACATTGGGAAGGCAAGGCAGCTACTTTTTGATGCTGAAATGGATATTGTGGTCTACGTCACTGACAACTAGAAGCAAGGTGAGAGTCTTTGGGGCAAATGTGAAAGCTTTGCTCATTTCGTCTAGGGCTGAAACTAAGAGACTAGTTTTCATTAAAAAGTTCTGGGGAGATTCCTGCGGATTAGGCGGCCCAGAAGAATCCTGAATGAAGAGCGGTGGAGGCAGATAGACCTGTGGTCGATGAATGAGATTAGATGGAAAAAATGAACGTGGGGATAGATTGGCCACTCACTGAGGCGTGGCCAGAATAATAATCTCATGGCCACCATCTCATTGGTTGTCCCGTCTCCTTTACGGGAGCCTAATGACACAAAAGAGTGTTGTTAATTAGTACTTTCGCAAATACATGGAACCTCAAGAAAGTTTTTTTTTTTGTATTCATGATTGAAATATCCACAATACTAGGATATTTTGACATTGTGGTCATTATTGTCCTAAAAACTAACTGGTAAGTATTCCTATCTAACTGGGGCCACCCAATTTACCTCTTCTCGCCTAAACCTTCTTTTTTAACCAGCTAACAGTTAACATGAGACGAACATTTAATGTGGTATAGTTTAATTCACTTCCAAGTGATAGCTTTGTACAATGAAACAGTTACCTTAAGACGATTTTCCTCAAGTCTTATTGTGCGGAATTAACAGTACGCGACAAACCTCCTATTTTTTCCAGTAAGTATTGATTTCATTTAATATTTTATGAAAAGAAAACTGAATGTTCATTTACGATCGAGACATTTCACCACTGAACTATCAATTTCCAAGTAGCCCAGAAGCCAGTCACAGCCTGGGCTGCAGCAGGCAGCTCCTCTACGCTCTGTGAAAGAAATGAAACAAAAGTAAAAATAAAAATTAGTAGAACAGTATTGAAATGTGGAAATCTTAATTTTACTAAAACATAAATTTCCTTTTTTAGTTTTTTGTTCACATCATTTTATTCTTTCCACTTACTTTTGAATGAAGACTCAGCTGTGTTGAAAGAAATTTCTTAAAGGACTTTAAAGTGTGGCCTTTTAATCATGTCCATGAGAAAACAGAAACCCTCCAAAAGGAAAACAGCTCACGTGATCGTGACATAACAAAGACAACACTGATAAGGTGTCGTGACGGATACGGAAATATGTTAGAAGTTTTGACATCGAAAAGTTTGAAATTTTTAATATGCAGTTGTAGTTTGGCGATAAGTCAAATGTTGAATCTTCTAAATTTCGATTAACCAAATAGATCTTACCTATTTCAGACATCTCGTATTCTAATTCTGTAAAAAAAAGGGAGGAAATTATGTTTCGTGTGATTCCAAAATTAGCAGTTTATTTATCATTTAGTCACCCTTTTCCTCTCAGTCCCTTAATTCACCTTGTTTGCCCCTCAAAATTTTGCATGACATTTTTTTTCTCCTGGGTATTACAGTCGTCCCAAGCGAAATTAAGGACAATGTTTGGGCAAAATCTTGTGGGCAAGACGTCGGAAGACGGCGTATTATGGGAGATGTGCAAATCGCGATTTCCAATTCAGGCTCGAAAATTTCATTATTGCCATATCACAGTGGAGAAAAAAAAATCATTATTCTACTTATAAAAGTTGACTTATTCTGGAAAAATATAGCCCGTCCCATGCATTTAGATAGTGGAGAGTCTGGAGAGTGGGCCGTCACCAGTCGGTTTCTGAACGCCAAGAACATGCCAAAAGAAAGGAAATGTTTATCCCATTATTCCTTCTTCTAAAGTACATTATCCCATTAAAGATAAAATTTATGTTATTCTTTTTCGATAATTCATCTTTGAACCCCAACTTCTTTGTGCGAGCATAAATCTACAAATAAAGCTGATCATACTTAACGCAACTGAGAGCGGGGCTGTAGCCGTAGACTGACAGCAACGACAACCAGGCGGCTACAGCCCTGCTAATGAATTTAAGGACGAGGTCACTCCGAGGAGGGATTGCATATAATATTTCTAATCACAAATACAAATGTGATAGATGAGTGTGTCCAAAAAGCGTCTGCCTTCGATTATTTATTCCGGCACTCGAGCTTCCCGTCGCTTCCCGCCAATTTCACAGTCACGCATCAAAAGCCAGGTTCCCAAGCATATTCCAAAATGGCGGCTCGCGATGCTCCACAAACGGTGCCTTCGAGGATTGGCGGAGAAGTTTCATGTTTGTTACAACCGAGTCTTGAGGTCGGTGAAGTTTAAAGGCTAAGAAAACGGTCAGTACAACACGTTTTATTTCATTTATTTGTGTCCAGGAAGGCAATGTCCTTTCCGGGGGTGAACTTGTCCTTTGGGTAGCGTTTACCGTAGTTACTAAAACAAGGAATGACCTACAATGACCTACAATGACCTACAATGATCTACAATGACCTACAATGATCTACAATGACCTACAATGACCTACAATGACCTACAATGATCTACAATGACCTACAATGAGCTACTATGACCGAACGTGTAATCCCTGTAATGAGCTAAAATGAAGATTTTAGAAAAAGACAAAAAAAAAAAAGATCAGGGGACATGTGTGCGTAAACGTAACGCGTTTAGTCTACTGCATGACAGCCCATTTAACGATGACAGCATCTCTGATTATTACGCTTGGAGATAAATTTACAGTGTAATAATATATGTATGATGATACTGTGACTTTTGTCCAAACCATCCCTTGCAACCTTTCGCATTAGTTTTATTTTGTCTTGTCTTTTTTTCAAACAAATTGAACAAACACAGTCATCCCAACAGTCGATCCGGGGGGATCTTCAAGGGACGTAAGGGTAGAGATGAACAAAGGAGGCCTTCAAATTCTGACCCTGTTCAAAAGAAAAATTGTTCATTTTCTTTAAGTACCCTGGCCTGTATAAGACATCATAAAACCCTTTAAATGGCTTTCGGTCCAACAGGATGCTCTGTTTGTAACGCTAAATAGTAAAATCCATATCCTGCTCAGCGGCCCATACCTATCTAGGCCAAATAAGGGAGTGCCTGCATGACTTCCGTCAATACAGGGTATAATAGTGCTATACCAGTAAAAACGCGATTGCAATAATCTATTTTCAAGTTTCTCAGGTTACCTGGGATCAGGCACAATTTTTGTTTTGCCTTTTCAAAATGTTCTTGGCAATTTAATACTATGAGCCTAGTGTCACATCCAAGCGTGACACACGACATGTGTCTGTCATATTGTAGCTCATTGTAGGACTTTAACTTTAACTCATTTTAGCTCATAGTAGCTCATTGTAGCTCGTAGTAGCTCATCGTAGATCATTGTAGGTCATTGTAGGTCATTGTAGGTTATTCCTTGTTTTAGTAACTACGACACACGTCCCCTGGTCTTTTTTTTTGTCTTTTTCTAAAATCTTCATTTTAGCTCATTACAGGGGTTACACGTTCGGTCATAGTAGCTCATTGTAGGTCATTGTAGATCATTGTAGATCATTGTAGGTCATTGTAGATCATTGTAGGTCATTGTAGGTCATTGTAGGTCATTCCTTGTTTTAGTAACTACGTAGCTTTTACACATAACAATCGTTCCAAGGAAGCTTCGGCGGATCGATAAACTTAGTTAGACCCTTTATTACGTATTTATCATATTAACTATAAGCATTAAAACCGCGCGCCTCAAAAGCGAGCGGTTCTGAAGATATTTTTATATTAATTCGTAGCACTGCCATCGATCATAATTCCACTATAAATTTAATTTAACTAGTGCTTGAAAGTGCTCGCATTACGATGACTATAGAGACCCCTTTACGGTTGTGTGGGCATGCTAGGTAATCAGGACAAGATGGCGGGGAATTCAAAGGTTTGTATGGGAATTCACAGTCAACTATTTCTTCCTAATTGAATACATTCGTCACTTGCTCTTTTCAAACTTTAACTAATGAACTTAAAGAAACTAAACACTAAGTGTGGAGTGTACAGCAGTCCTTTGTCGCTTTTTAGAAAATTTGATGTCTTCCATACTGTATCTGTAAATTTGTGTCGTCAGATTACAGTAAATGTATGGATATACTCAGGTTTTCTAAAAATCAACAAAGGACTGCTATGCACTCCAGATTTAGTGTGTAGTTTCTTTAAGCTCATTAGTTACATTTTCAAAGGGAAAGTGACAAAATATGATATATTCAATTAGCAAGAACTAAATGACTTTATATTGTCATGCAAACTTTTGATTTTTCCGCCATCTGTCCTGATTACCCAGCATGCCCTCACAATCGTAAAAGGGTTTATTTGCAATGCAGCTTTTTATCAAACTTGTATGCAGAATAAGATTTCAGAAAAATTGAGAGTACAATAAATATAGCCGTAAAACAAAAGACAGATCGTGTTCGAGAAAGATCAAAGGTAAGCTATTTTAGTCATAGAGACTTCGCCTCGCTTGGGCAAAACATGTTGTTCCATGCATGAAGTGGGATTAGGAGTCAACAAAACCTGAACTGGATAAGCCTGGATCAACCCATTCATTAAATGATAAAAGATTAGGGATAGGGTTATAGAGTTTGATCTAATCCAGTCTGATCAAGGTTTTGTCAACAGACTAAAATTTTTTCATTGTTGACATGCAGTTTTTATACTTAACTCAAATTATGGACCCTTGAGTCAAGTTGTTCTATCAAAGTTGAATCAAAGAAAAAGTGTTCAACAAGGGTTTCGTCTTAAACATACATCCACCAGCTTTGTGGAAATACTAAAAAAGGAAAAAAATGAAATGCTTTCAAGAGGGCCAAACTCATGAGGTATCATGGGATATCCAAACCATTGAGATATGGGAGACTGTAGAGTTTTTTTGCAACTTACCTCTCTTTTTAAACTCTTGTATTAAGTTGGCGGCGCCTGTTAAAAATAACAAAAAAATGGAATTCTGTTAGTGAGGCAACTCACCATCAAAATTAGGGGGAACAGGGAAAGGGGGAAGTTCATCCATAAAAAATTAGTGCATTAATTAATCAATTAGCTATTACAGGGAGCCAACTAGCTAAATGATCAGTACATTCCTTTTGGCTTCTTCCCACTAGGTTTTGTGTTCATGTATTACGTGATAAGATTTGTGGCAATTCAATAAACTCAAACTAAGGAAACAAGTGTGATTGAATGCCATTCTGCATTTTATAGTAAACAGACCAATAGGGAAGGATATTTGTCCCTCTTTTTTAGGAACTACCGCATTGTTGCAGTCAGGGGATAGTAGAGTATTAAATAAAACTGTGGCGTTAGCCTTGTTAGGGTCTAATTTCATAATATCTGCAATACTGTGCTTACGTTTCCTGGTTACTTGTGAACAAGGGATGTGACTTGCCCCCAAATTCACGTGATAGTGTTCCAGCAGGCCAAGTTCTGGGCATAGTACTTTACTTCTGGTTTCTAGCAGAAAAAATGTAAGGGTGGCAAGAAATGATCAGTAAGTTTAGTTCATTATTATGATTACTTTTCTATCGTATAAAGGATGAAAGAATGGGCAAAAAGGAAGAAAGGAAAGGAGATGGAAAAGAATGAGAAGTGAAAAAAAAGAAAAAAAGAATGGAATTAAGAGAGTNATTAATCAATTAGCTATTACAGGGAGCCAACTAGCTAAATGATCAGTACATTCCTTTTGGCTTCTTCCCACTAGGTTTTGTGTTCATGTATTACGTGATAAGATTTGTGGCAATTCAATAAACTCAAACTAAGGAAACAAGTGTGATTGAATGCCATTCTGCATTTTATAGTAAACAGACCAATAGGGAAGGATATTTGTCCCTCTTTTTTAGGAACTACCGCATTGTTGCAGTCAGGGGATAGTAGAGTATTAAATAAAACTGTGGCGTTAGCCTTGTTAGGGTCTAATTTCATAATATCTGCAATACTGTGCTTACGTTTCCTGGTTACTTGTGAACAAGGGATGTGACTTGCCCCCAAATTCACGTGATAGTGTTCCAGCAGGCCAAGTTCTGGGCATAGTACTTTACTTCTGGTTTCTAGCAGAAAAAATGTAAGGGTGGCAAGAAATGATCAGTAAGTTTAGTTCATTATTATGATTACTTTTCTATCGTATAAAGGATGAAAGAATGGGCAAAAAGGAAGAAAGGGAAAGGAGATGGAAAAGAATGAGAAGTGAAAAAAAAGAAAAAAAGAATGGAATTAAGAGAGTAATAAAATGATATTTTTTTTTTACCAAGGTCATCATCTTCAGAATCAATTTCTGCAAGTTAAAATCAAATAAGACTTTGTTAATATTGATAAGCAAAGTACTACTTTATATTGAGAGGAATAAAAATAAAAGTAACTTAGGACCGACCAGACCAGAAAGTACTTACACTTGCTCAAATAACTGACTCTCTCTGGCTGATAGACTGATAGGTATAAATTTTTGTGTGTAGTTGTCTTCTGTGTAATTTTCATGTGTGCTCCATTCCTAGCCTTTAAATAGAGTGAGGCTGGAAACTTTTTTCTTAAAACCTTCCTGCTTTTTTGTCCAATTTGTGCTTGAGCTAACAAGCCCATGAACATTATCATTTACATTAAAAACAGAATACCCTGGATGCCAGAGACTTTTCATGCGCGGTTTCCAGTTTCGGTCAAGTCTTAAAAAGTGCCCCGTGCGAAAAGAGGTGACCTTGTTTCCTTATAAACCTTTCTGTTTTTACCCTGGGTACCACAGATTTTTTCTTGGGGCTTTGCCACTCGTGTCTTCGGCCGAAGGCTGACGAAGCTCCTCGTCACATGCGAGAAAAAATCTCTGGTACCCAAGGTAAAAACAGAAAGGTTAATAAGGAAACAAGGTCACCACTTGTTTCGCTTCTATTCAAAGGCCAGGTCACTGTGCACACAATTATTACCTGGTTCATACCCCAGGGGTACTCCCTATAATGGCTTATCTGGGGAGGCTCCACTCAAAAGGGGTACATTTTTAAGGCTTCAAGTATATATGAAGGGGTAGGGATTTTACTACTTGAGGTACATGAAAGGGAAGGGAAATCTGTCATTTCGGTCCTAAAAAGAGCCAGAAGGGCTGCATTTTATGGCTGTGAAAGAGTCGGGAAAACGTTCTGGTTTAGTGGTTTATTCATATTTTAAAGACTGAATTTATAGCAGTTAAAAGGGATGGAAAGTTCTAAACTAAGTACGTATCAAAAGTGGTATATAAAAGGGTAAGGGGGTTGGACCTTGGGCCGGAGCCTCCCAATACAAGACTTCTTTGAGTAGTCCCCTAGAGTTCATACCTTCACCTGGATGTTCTTGCTTCGTATTTCCCCAAAAAGTTTTCTTTTACCAGAAATAACCAAACAAACTTGCGACATCATTCTCTTCTTTAAATATTTATTTGGTTTTGTTTTCACCTTAACTAGAATTTTCAGAAAAATAAATGTTCTGTTTTTCGAAAAGAATAAAAAGAGAAATGAACATGAAAAGAAATTTATATTGAATAGTTTCTTTCAGGGCCAGCTTCCTTTTCTCTTTCAAGTAGCAAAATAACATTAATTTTAGTCATATACTTGTTGTCTGTCGAAGAAGACTGATAAAATTCATAAAGATTCATTTGAAACACTTTTGAGTATTTTGCTATCAGACACTTAGTAGTAAATAACAAGAAACGTTTGCTACTAACGTTTTGCTGTTTCCCGCATCCATTCATTTTCTCTCGCGTCTGAGGAACATTTTAGAAATGTTAAATTATCGTTAGCTGTTAGTAATAGTTGTTTATACCTTATGCAGTCAACAAGTTTAGAACATAACGGTTAGGGGCTGGCCTTTAGTCGTAATTTTATTGTCGGTGATAAAGAGTTACAGGTTAGGCCAATATTGGCAAGTTATTAGTTGGTAGTAAGTTGAAACTGCTTGCTGGGGTTCCTTACCAGATGAACGTTGTTTATCAAGAAAGGAGTTAGGCATCTTCGTAGATCTTTTTTTAAGCCACATTGCCTTTTTAAATAAGTTGTAAATTATCTTTAAATCAAATCATGAATATAGTGCATGTTGGCGGCATTAATATAAACCTGTAATTACGTCCCTCATATGTAGATCATTTCTGTGAAGCTTGAACGTGACTTTTTTGGTATGCAGAATATTTGGGATTAAGACCGTCTTCAATCCACCGTCGCGAAAGATGGGATAAACCCCTCTGAACGTAGACAAAAGAGACTATGTTTTGTCTTAAAAAGAATTATTTTGAGGAAAAGTAAAATGTCTCTTTAGTATACCAAACCCATTAAAAAGTGAATAACTCTGGCTGCATGGGTGTCAACGACTGAAGTCTTTTTTCTGGGGAAATAGATATTTACAAGTCTGTTCGTTCTTCAGAAGATTCAGAATACGGTAAATACGTAAATTACAATAAATCATTTTTAACGTCTAGGTTTTAGCATTAACAAACTACTTTGATTAGAGTGGACATCCATTCTTATATTCTTGTTACTATGACTCAGTGTTTTTGTATATTTTATTTAACCGGCGTTGCGCGGAATTTAATGACAAAATATTTCTTTCCTAGCACTATATCAATGGATAAACAATACTTGGTGGACTTTAAATAAGAATCAAATGGCAAAATATGAAGGATATTTACAAATAAATATGAAAACCTGATAGTGAAAACCTATAAATAATGTTGCCATGAACGAAATGAAGCGTTTAAAAAAATGTGGATTGTTAAATTCGAATGCACCTTTTAATTTTTATGCAATTTGACGTATAGAGTGAACCATCTTAGTAAGTGACTGTGACCTTTCACATTCCTTGGCTTTTCAAGTGTCCGTTGGTATCTTCTCGTATATTTTAATGTGGAGATGTCTTCATGTCCATGTTTTACTGCTGATATATTTATGTATTTATTTTTTTGGTTAAGCTTTTTTACGCTTTACCAGTGTTATTTTCCCGCTTTACGTTAGCGTTATTGCTGTATGTGTGTTTTTGCATTTGGTTTTGAATGAGTACTACACAAAAGTTATAAAAATACACTATCCAGAGTCGGTTTATTTGGGCCCTAGGTATTTCCTTCCTCTTTCCAGTTTTGTTTTTATTACAGAGCTCCTTTTTTGAAAAAAAAAAGAGTAAGATGAAGAAACTGAGAAATGTGAAATAAGTTGTATTCTAATGTATTTTGTGTATATTGGGGCTTTTGTTTTCTTCCAAAAGTCTGCCGCCACGTACCTTTCATTCTACTTTAAAAGTAATGAAAACTCGGCTGAAAAAATACATTATTTAAAACTATTTCAAACTTTACTTTTCACTGAACAGAGACACCGGATATTGTTTTTTTTTCCTTTTTTAATGAAGTCTACTGTTTTATGGCTTGGAGCACTCAGAAAAATAGCTTTGTATGAAGCAACCCTGAATTGTGTGCGCCGGTAAAGATCGTTTTTGAAATGCTTTTTTTATCGTCAGTCTATGCACTGCCTTTACCTTTATTTGTCTTTTAAAAAGCTACGGTACCAGTACCCAAAAAATAGTGGACTTTCGTTTTGATTAAAAAAAGAAAAAACTTGGCTAAGTGATAGATATATAAAAAACAAATTGGATTTATTCTGATGTAAAGATTATGAGTTTAATTAAAAGCTATTAGATTACCGAAAAAAAATTATTTCTCTTTGCAGAAGTAATTTTAGTTTCACACTGATAAGAGAGGCAATATTACAAAAAATTTCTGTCAAATAGTAAGTTGTCTTAATTAGGAAATTTAAATGACAGGCACAAGAAATAACTTACAGCGTGCATCGGTTATATTGCACTATGAATGAAGCTTTCTTTAAAATTTAAGAAGTTTTATGTTTTACTGTAATGTACTGCAAGGTTTTATTTTCATCTTTATTGCTCATATTTCATTTTCCAAACCGAATTTGACAGTTTATGTACGTTTAATTACGTTGAGTCAACAAAGTGAGAATAGTAATCTGAGCCGTAAAGATGTATTGAAAATAGAGATAGTGCGTGCATTTGTAACTAAAATTCCTTACACCTTTGCAACCAAAACCTTAAACAGAATTTTGATTTTGAGTTTGGTGATTACAAAGAAAACAAAAAAAGTTGACATTGTTTGTTAATGGTGTCGTCCATCAGTGTGAATTACAACAAACCTTGAATAGTCACTCTAACTGTAATCAACTCAGAAATAATGGCTCGCTTCTTACAGAAGATGATAAAACTAACTAGTTGCCGTAAGCATGAAAGTGCATTTTATATCGTTTTTCCTTTCTACGAATAGAAAATTAAATAAATTTACACCACATTATCGTGTAACTTACGCTGAAATTCAATTTTTCCTTATTATTTTACTGGTAAGATAAGCCATATTCATTCGATTACCCAGTTTATATTCTTTTCGTAAATTTATTTGAAAAATTATACTGGCTGATAAGACTGTTAAGGTGGTCTTGGTTAAATTATTTTTGAAACAAGTATAGTTGTTTGTCAAAGAAAATTTAGGAAATTCAACCTGTCTGGTAGTAATTGCTTTACTTTTATACTTCTTGTTAACAAAAACCATACCTTGTTCTTTGCTTGGAAATGAACCTGAAAATTATCCAAAATACAATGATTCTAACATGAAGAAAATATCGTTGTAATTCTAAACCATTTACCCCGTTATATGCAGTGCCCTGTAGCTTGATGGCCAGTTACTTAGTTTTTTTCTTTATGTTTTCATTTTTGTAAGAGGAGGTTTTGGTTTCGGAATTTGAAAGTCCTCCACAATTTGCCATTCTTTTTCTAATATTTCATTAGTTTGAAAACACGTTGACACATATCAGTGGCCACCACAAATTACATTTCAGAAAAGATAAAAAAAAATTAAGATCCTGGGCAGAACGGATGCAAATCACGATAAAGTGATTTAGATTTTAATCACTCTCCTTTTTGCGTTGATGTCTTTTTTTCGTTTAAATGAGGATTTTCTCGCATCTATAAGCTGATTCTGGCATGGAAGATAGGTAAAACCCAAAGATTTAGAATCCTCGAAACATCACGTAATTAGTGCCCCTTGATAAATGTGGTTTCTAGTCACGACTAATTCAATTTTATGCAATTTTTTAGAGGGAAATTCAAACGGTTTTTTTATCATTCTGGGATTGATCACTTCAAGATGAAGAAAGCTTTAAATGAAATTTTTGGACACATTTGAAACACTGGAAGTGACTCGAGAAGGGAAATATAGGGAATGTAGATAGGGAAATGGAAGTAGCTTAAAAAGAAGAAGAAAAGTCTCTGGAAACTTACATGTGAGTCCCAGGAATGCAGCAAAAATCAGTAAGGAGACAAACTTGTCCATGATGAAAAGTCTAAAGTTATTTCTTGAGTTGTACACTGGCTGCGTTCCTTTGGCTTTTGTGGTGCGGTCAATCTGTCAGTCTGCCTTTATAATGTTTTATCAGAGCTAGGATTGCAAACAAATATATGATGTGTGAATGGAGGCACTCTCCTATTAGTGTGGTTAAGGAAATTAGTTGCAAAGTGACCCCAGGTTTCAAAATAGTATTAATTTTCTTTTTTCATCTCCGATTCCTTTTGTGGGACAACCGCTGAGGCATTTGGATCTCTTCTCACGATGCTCGGGGGGTCCTATTGTGTAACGTTAAAAGCTCGGAGGAAGTGAATTTATTTCCCTTAATTTTAAATCCATTCTTTGGTTTTTTCCATTAGATAGAGTCTTGAGTGTCTTCAAAAATTTATGGTTTTTATTAATGATTTGAACGTGGGCTGGACGCGGCTATTGTTACTAGAGCTTTAGTCTAGTCGTTTGTAATTTTGACAGCGTTTGATATTCAAGTCATTGGTTTGGATATAAAAATTTGAGATAGAGAAGCAGAGATAAAAGGTTCATTGATAACCTCAGCTAAACCCTTGAAACGGCTGCCGATTGATTGCAGCGGATTGTTTGATTTGTCAGTTTTACTTGTTTAGCATCCAACGCCATCATAACTTTGGCTTAACCTGATATTTATTATATATTCGCGCCTTATATAAGCACAACACAGGCAACATCTTTTTCGGATTATGAACCATGCACAATCACCACCCCACTGGAAACTTATTAAAATTTCACGAAGTTCCATAGTTCTCCTTGATTCGACCTTTTGTCCTGTTGATTAACTGTTTCGCGCTATTTTCGTAGACTTAATTAAATGAACCAGTCGACGGGCGCCAGAATCTTCCGAATTCAAACCAACAAAGAACCACGTAAAGGCAAAACAATGAAATTTAAGGCAACGATTTGTGTTATCTACCAGTTCGGCAAGCGTTTTATTAAACCTTAGCGGAAATTTCACCTAAAATGCCAAACTGGGCAATTGGCGAGCAAGGTTATGCCCATTATGTTAGCTTTGGTACTGGTGCACTTTTACAGAGTCTTTAAATTGCACTGTATAAGATGGAATTAATAACTTTATTTCATTTACACGCGTCGGTAGATGTCAAAGAGGTAACTGAATAGAATAATAGGAAGGCAAACCATGGGTGACTTTGCAGTGAAAAGAAAACCATATTATGAGTTCATCTAAACAAACTAGACGTGTACTTGTCCATAAACAATAACAAACGCTGCAATGTTCTGATATAAAACTCTCTTTATGTGTAACAGCCTTGAATAAATCCTATCATTAAATAAGGTTTATATTATTCAAGCGCTTAATAACTTTTGATGGAACATCTAAATGAGATTTTTCATTCAAATTCTGAACTTTTCCAATGGCGCTCATTTGACCATATCATATGACGTTGTGGTTTCAAATGAAACGTTGAAAAAGAAAAGTTTGTGTTATTTTTCTATTCCAAAGTAAAGAAATACTCGTTTTGTTAGTTCTATTATTCAGAGTTATCAAAACTAGACTTAAATCAAAACATTGAAATCAAAATTGTTTGAAAAAATAACATATAGGCACTGTTTAACAAACTTTGGAAGTTTATTAGAACTTAAATTTTCATTAGCGAATTTTTATGTATGAAAACTTTCAAAATAATTGAGAGATGTAGAATGGCTAAAAGTCACTTTTTTTTCCATCTTTAGTAAAAATTCTTGGTAAGAATCGGTGCAAAGTGAATTAGAACTCTAGTTAGGCCGTTGAAATGAATTTCTGCCTTCTGGAACTAACGGACAATCTGAGTTCCAGTTTAAATGACAGAATGCTATTTTCAAAGTCATAAGGGCGATCAAGGAACTTCAGTTTTCAGACTAACCTGGCTTTTACTCAGGAAAACAATCATAGAAGACAAACAACTAAAAGTAATGTTTTGTTTGGGACGAAAATAAACCGAGTTGTTGTAGCTAAACAATTCTTTTGTGAATTGCAAAGTGAAACGCAGGTGCATTAAACAGCTTAGCGAATTGAATCGGTAACCCCTTCGTCCCTTTAATGTGATGTTGAGGGAAACTTTCTTCATTTCTATTACAGCTTTGAATGCGTTTTGCATTTACTTTGTGTATTCAATTCCTTCGGAAAAGACGTTGATTAAGTTAAGAAATCTCAAAGAATATCTGACGAGACTGGATAACACGTAAGAAAATTAACACCTCGTAAGAAGATTCCAAGAATGGTATACTTAGTTTACCCGTAAATGTGCCTTCTTTGTTTTGCTTAAAAATGTTCTAATTTCTGGCAAATAAACGCAGTATTTGGGTGATATATATTAAGCACATTGTATTGGTTTTCCATCAGAAAAAAATTAACGGGAAAGAAAACCTCTCTTCCGAATTTGAACAGGAATCTTAATTTAGGGACCATTTCTCATAAATAATTAACGAAACTATTAGTTAGAGTTGTTTTCTGGAAACGAAAGTACAAAGTTCTGTTTGCTAAACATCCTAACAAATATTCACGAAAATTGAAGCAAATAAGGATTTTATATCGTTGTGGTAAACCGTCATAGTTGTTTTTCATCCCTTGAATATAAAAGCATATATATTTTTTAACGCCGACGATCTACAAAAAAAAAACCAACTGCGCAAAGGTTGCCTTTTACTTATTGTTATGCAATATTGGACATGACTTTAAATCAATTTGTTTTGTTTTGCTTGAATTTCAAAGACTTGGTTTTGTGATTTTGAAAACTTTGTCTTCCTTTCTATTCTTGTATGCAAGTGCCATTAACAGACATCGTAATACACAGTTAAATTTGAATTTGCGTCCGTACGTCTTAAAATTTGTGTAGTTACTTTATTGCCTTAAAACATTGTCTTTTCATGATCTTCATCGTTAGCGACCAAAAATCGAAAACGGTGTCTTTTGTCAACATGAAGGTTGTTGCTTTTAACTTGAAATGCAAAACGCATTAATATAGTTTGTAAAACGTATTTCCATATGCGTTGTATCTGCGGGAATTTTGTTTGGTATAGGCGTTCCAGTTAAAATGATTGCTGTAAAACAAATATTTTTAATCAAGTTCAGTGAGCTTCAATCCCTCAATTGGTAAGCACTTTTTAAGATTTATGCCTTTGAATATTGACCTCGCGAAAATTCTTGTGGCGAATCATTAAAAGCAAAGGTCTTCTGAAAAGCCCCTTATTGGTAACATTATCTATTCATGAGTCTATGAATATAACTAGCGAAATTTAAAAAGTAACTTAGAACCTTCGGTGTGCATATAAAAACTATTAAACCTTTATGTAATTCCTTGTATATCTTTTCAGTAGCTTAGTGACGAGGGTATTGATTTCAGGTGTATACATACCGTTTACCAAAATGTCATATATCCACTCAGTGACTGCGAATGCAATTTTTCTGTCTCGGTTTTAAGCAGGCCACTGACAGCATTTCGTTTACGTTCGACTTTTATTCAATGGAAACTTAATTATGTCAGGCGATTGCAGATAAACATTTGGCTGACACGCAGGCTTGAAACGGCGTAAAAATGACACGATTCCCTGCAAGGTCTTAATTTATCTTAAGTGTCTTTGATAACTACGGTCTTAATCAATTCTGGCGGCAGGAACCGAAACCCACTAAATATGTACAGGTAATGAAAGTAAGATTCATATCTGTAGTAAATTCACTTCTTTTTTCTGCATGCTACAATGAATAACTGATTCCCAATGAAAGTAGATCGGAGTTGTCACTAAATGGTAAGCGTATAATTCTCTCGTATGAATCAGTCAAATTATTGAAAGACCAGGGGTCGCCGTTGAGTTGCGATCCTGTTAATGGGTTGAAAGTTGTGGTTGCACTTGGGGGGTTTCTCATTTGTTTCTGACATTTTGTGGGTGGGACAGATTCCATTGTTAACTGACTCATTTTTTAAATCTCAACTGAGACAATCAATGCCTGAATGATAAAAATAAGCTTTTAAATTTTGCAGCACTATACGGTCTCATAGAGCAATATTCACTTAATTGAGAGTTGATTATAGCGATCGAAAAGATAAGCTTTTTCCGAGCGTAACATGAATACCTCCCCGGCCTACTTCGTTGCTGAGAGTATCAGTGTTTCGAAGACTTGTACTCAGTGAAGACGTAATTTTACACTAAGTTTCGGAAGTATACTTTAATTTGGATCTTACATCTATGGCTTATCGCCCAAATTTTATAGTTTTTTTTCGAATTCCTCCATTTAATTGTGGAAGATAAATGCCTAAAGCACAGCCGCGGTATAACCCAAAATACTGCTCTAATCATTTCTGTATCACCTCTCAACGGTGTTAGCTATCTTGAGTACCCTGAGCCGGCTTTTAGCTTCACTCTCATGAAAACTCAACCTTTCCACTCTTTCTCTTAACCTTTTCCCCAGTTTGAAGCGTAGAAGGAAACTGGCAACGGAGCTGTTTGTAAATTGACAGCATATATATTCAGGGTTCGCACAGTCTTG